CCCTGCGTGCCAGGGAGGGTGCTGACAAGTGACTGCAAGGAAGTGATGGGAGAGGAATGTGAGCCAGGGTCCACGCTCCCAGGAGGTCTTTGTGGGGCAGGCAGTGGTCAGGTGTGCTCGCCTCAGAGGGCTTGCTGGTGGCCGACCCAGGGATGTTCAATCCTGACTCAGATTTTACACACCTGATGCTGCCAAAATAAATCCCTCTGATCCCAGAAGCTGTTTGAGTCTTGCAGCAAAACTCTCTACTGGGGAGAGCAGAGAGACACTATAAACCCTCTTTCTACTTGGATCTGAGTGTATTTTAAGGCAGGGTCAGGCCTTCTTCCCTGTGCAGCATCCAGCCTCTCACTCCGCACACACCCCACTTCCCTCACTCCAGGGCCACCATAAGGAACTTCATCCCCAGGACTAAGCCTTTGCCCTCTGTGCAAACTGGTTTTACTTGTGTGCACAGCAAGTGGAGGAGTGAGCCTGGTCGCGCACCCACATACAGAGAGGACAAGCAGGTGATTTGGGGCAGCACAAAGAGTGTTCCCCAGTCAGAACTGCTGGATGCCTTGTCTGCTGCAGCCGGAGGCCAACAGGGTGGACAGGGACCCCCCCAGATCACAAGGGGCAGTGTGCCCACCCCTCCAGCATTCATCCTTCCTAAGGAACTTCCTGGAAAACTCCAGCCCCCTGGGCTGAAGTTCCTGCAGTGGCCTCCAGCCCAGGACGGCCTCGTAGGGTTAGCTGCCCACCCCTTTCTCCTCCACTGCAGATACACCAAGTGGATGGGGAGTGAGAGGCAGAAGCCCACGGATCTGCCACTCAGAGGTGGTTGGAGTGGGCAGTCAGTGTTGCTCTGGGCAGGCTCTTCCTGTCAGTCCCTCTCCTGTTTGGGGTGAGGAGCATGGACATACAGCGGGATCGTGGGGCATGGCTCTGAAACGTGCTGCTCTGAGCATATCCTGGAGGCAGGACACCTTGGCTCCAGGCTCCTCCTGCACTCATGGGTGAGAAACAGGCTGGTAACAATGTGGGGTAGGAGGCAAGAGATATGGAGAGCAGAGAGAAGCCCTGCAGTTAATAGTTGAATACATAGTAGGAAGGAGAAATGTGGCAAGAGATACCTGACAGAGAGAAAAGGGAAGCCTCAGTCTATTCATTCCCTCCTGGTTACATATGGGGAAACTGAAGTGGAGGAGGTGGTGAGCAGCTTGGCCCTAGCTCCATGGCTGAGCTGGGAATTGAGTTGTAATTTTGTGAGTATGCTTTGCTCCCTGTTGGCCACGGTCCCTGCTTAGGTGCTCTCTTCATGCTGCATCCCATTTTGGGATGGCAAGGGTGTGTTTTGTCTTCCTGGAGACAGCAGATAGTTGCGTGATCACTGCATCACCCAGCCCAGGCAGTCCTAGCAGCTGAACCATGAAAAAAAATAAGATCCCTGGCATGCGGGAGAATTTGGCCAGGCAGCCCTGGCCACAGCATGGCTCTTTGCCGAGTGGTGACTAGGCAGGGCAACACCTGGCCAAGAGGCAGAGGGCTTTGTGCCGGTCCAGCCCTTCCCCTGCACTGAAATGTCTGTGGCTTGGGGGAGGCTGTGATGCATCTCAGATCCATGTCGCACTGGGAGGAAACAGCGTCTGGTCTCCATTCTCCACAAGATAAATGTCAAGAGACGCTTCCAGTAATGGATGCCAGAGCTTGGCAGGCTCTGACACATCTGCCCGCCTGCCCACAGCCCCTTCCCAGTGCTCTTGCTCAGCACAGCTCCTTCGCTGCTTCCTGGGTGGCTGGAGAACATCCTGGTGCTGCTCAGGGCTGGTTGGTGAAGGCTGCTGGGTCGCCAGCAGAGATTTCAGCCCTGTTTCCTCTTTGAAAATGATCCAGAGGGGGCTCTGGTACATACAGCTTTTTCTCTGATCTAACCCAGTGTTACTGGACAAACATGCCACAACACAGCAGCCTGTTTCTGGAGGCAGGATGAGCCTGAGCATCCACTGGTACAAGTTGGGACCATGTCCCCACTTCACCAAGCAGAGCTGGGTACCAGCCCAGGAAGACAAGGCAGCCAGGACTGCACAGAGCAGCCAGTCCTACGTGACAGACTGCACCTGCATCTGACCCAGCTCCTGGGTGGGTTTGTGGTTGTCACCAATTTTGTGTTGTTAACACACCCCCCTGCTCTTGACCAACCCTAGTCAGTTGCTCACCCTGATGGGTACTTAAACTTCAGCTGCTTAGGTCCAGCCTGGCCTGCAGTGGTAGCCATGGGCAAAGGGTACAGATGTCTGCCCTTGTCCAAGGGCATCACTGTGGGGAATGGGGCCAGTTCCTCAGCAAGGGTGTGCGAGTCTCTGTCTACAGTCCAGCTGCTGCTTGGGGCTGAGCTGCTGTCTCTGCTCTGTTCTCTCTGCCATCAGGTCCTTCACCATGCCTGGGATGCTCCTCTGCACCGGTGGCCCAGAGGCTACAGCCAGCTGTCCTTGTGCAGCATTGGCCACTGCGCTCAGGAGAGATGTAGTTGCCTTGGAGCTGAGAACGGTTGCCTTGAGAAGGGCCCAAGGTGGCAGGTTTTGTCCTCCCAGGCTGAAGGCTACCGTGCCTCAGGCAGGGGTGTTCCCCTTTGAGAAGCTTATGGCTCCAATTCCTGTCTTCAGGCCAGCGCTTGCCAGGCGGCCTCTCCTCACATCTGTGCCTGGTTATTGTCAGAATGCAATTAAGCCAAAGGGTAATTGCATCTCCTGCTTGGGGCTCTAATGTAATCACTGCCAGGGCCACAGCAAAGGCTCCTTGTACAGCAATGTGGAGCCCGGCAGTTGCATCAGGCTTTTTCAGCCCTGCTTTATTTGAGACACCAGCTTCTGATCTCCGCGGGGTGCAGGGTCCTGGACAGGCCAGGCCAGGCCACCAGGCTGACCTGCAGCATGCGTCCCTGTTTCCTCCAGACCCAGGCCATGGAGGGGAGCGTCTGTGCACCCCACAGCCAGCCCAGAGCACCCGAGGGCAGGCAGCAGCTGGGTGGCTCAGACCAGCCATTCCTCGCACAACCACCCTGCCTCATGGCAGGGCCCTGGGGTCCCCACCACCACTGTCCCCTGCTGCTGCCGGTGGGGCTCTCCTCAGAGCTGCCCCAGGCTGCAGCTCTTGTAGGTGTGAGCAGAGACTCCCTGACTCTGATGGGACACCCTGGGAATTCACAAGCCAACTGCTGGCCGTTGCTGGGCTGGTGCACCTACCCTGCCCATCCCACTGTGATGGTGGCCAGTGCCTGGCTGACTTCCACCATTCTCCAAAGCCCCCTCCATAACCCTGCTTCCCATCCCACGCCACCTGCAGAGGTGTTTGTGGGGCCGCCTGGCTGCCCTGCCACGGAGGGAGGACTCACAGCACTGGGGATGGGTCAGCAGAGGCTCTGACAAGCTGGCGGTGATGACAACGCTGCCACCACCATGGAGGAGAAGCATGGTGCCTGGCAGGCCTGACCATGCACCTGCTTCACAGCCCGCCAAACGCTCTGGGCCTTTACAAGGTGGCCATTGTTCCAGAAGGTCCCCACCCCATGAGAGGCATGAGGCAGGAGCCAGTGTCACCCTGGTCATCACCATTCCTGGGAGGGGAAACCATCTGCCACTGTGTGGGGTGGGTGCCAGGAAGGGGGAGAGCCACCGGTGGCGGGAAGATGGCTTTGGCCCATGACACATCTTGCTGGGGATCATGGCAAGGTGACAGCTCATCCAGTGGTCAACGTCCCACCAGAGTTCTGGGGAACCACAGGCATGTACAGAACTCCTCCAGTGAGCGAGAAAGGAGGGCTTGCTCAAGACAGCCATGGAAAGCAGGATGGTGGCACCCAGCGACAGCAGCAGGAGTGTTATGGGAAGGAGATGAAGGGAAGTGGAGGGCCAAAGCCCAGTGCTGAGTCAGGTTGAGCAAGTGCTGCCTCCCTTGAGCCACTGGATCCCCACTGGTTGTGAAATGGATGCTGGGACCTGGAGCAGGGCCTCCTCCCCCAGCCCTTATCTTTGCTGCTTCCTCCTCCTCCAGGACTGTGCCCGGGCGGTCCAAGCTTGTGCAAAACGAAGCTGAGAAGCTCTGGGGCTAATTAATTACTAGCTGCTGGTAATGCTGACTGAGCCTCCGGGGACTCCAAGGCTGGAGCAGAGGAGAAAGTGCAGAGAGATACTGGAAAATTACTGTTTAATTCTTCAGCATTACACTGGAAAATTACTGTTTAACTCTTCAGCATTACGTCTGACTACATGGCATCTGGTAGATGAAGGACAGGAAGAGTCTGCTAACGAGCCAGCCACCAAGACAGCTCTGCAAACCTTCTCCTGCCCAGCAGCAGGGGCGGCCAGAGCCCTGGAGGGCTGTCTCCAGCCCTGGTGAGAGTTCAGTGTCCGGATGGATGCAGGTCCTTGGGCTGTTGCTGCCTGTGCCTGGCCCCACAGCCATCAGTACTCCTGCTGCGTGTCGCAGCCGAGGAGTTCTATCCGCAGGGCAATGTGGTTGTACCACTGGCGGGGGTGTATCCTCACATAGCGTGCAAAGACGGGGGGCTCCAGGGTATTCATCACTCTGCTGGTGTGGTCTCGGTTTGCCCTGAAAATCTGGAGAGGAGAGAGAAATCAGGGGTGTGCTCTCCTCAGCTAGTACAGAAAGCCCATGACATGACCAACCCAGACAAGCACCACTTGGGAATGCTTTAGGGAGGAAAAAGCACAGCCCAGCTCACTGCTCGTGCAAAAAAAAATCCCAAGAGCACATTTGCCAAGGGGGTGGCCATGGGCTGCCTCTGGCCATGGAGCAGCTCTGCCTACCTTCTCCTTGCCGTCCTGCAGGACCGGGCTCCAGTGCACACCATTCTGGCTGCTGGAGACAGCAAACTCCATCACAAACATGGGGGTGAAGACAGCTTTGGCACCTTGGGTTATGATTGCAGTCACCTTCTTGGTTACTTCAAAGTCCACCTGTAACCACTCTCTGGGGCTGTTGCTCTGGGGAAGGACAGACTGGCTTCAACCCTTCAGCAGCAATGAGAAGCACATGGTCATTGCAGCTGAAGCCAAACCAGCCCTGCACATAGTCCTGGACTTCACCTGCACTACCAGGCCTCTAGTTGGAGCTGCTGGGTGCTAAATCAGGCAACTCGCACAGTGCACGTGGCTGTACACACTCCACACAGAGCCCTGGCTAGGAGAGCTTGCAAGCACCCAGCCTGCCTGCTGGCATCCCACCTGCCCACCTGGGGATGTCCTTGCATGGGCTACCTTTGGCCTCCACGCGTTAGTCCTCCCTTGCAGGTTCAGGCGGGCCTGGGAGGGTGACCAGCTGGAGAAGACATTGGTGCTGTAGGAAGATGCGGAGATGCGCTGGTCAGGGATCCTTCTGTTCTCCATTCCTAGGGGCATGGAGCAGCCTGGAAGAGAGGAGCGATGCTTGTTAGAAGGGGTAACAGACCCGTCATGGAGATGCCTTCTGGCTGCTCACTGGTCCAGCAGCCCTCCATGCACTTTCCCTGGTTACAGGTTCTCCTGTGCCTTGCCACAGTGTCATGGTCCCTGCGCTGCTCAGGGCCCCTGTGTGCAGCATGGCTCTGGCTGGGGAGTGCCAAACTACACCTGCCACTAGTCCCACCTTCTTTGCTCACTGGAGATTTTATCTAGGAGGAACGTGAAGAATTTGTGCATCTGCCAGGACATAAGGAGAACCTGTCTCCAGGGGAAGGACAAGAATACCTGGCAGGGAGACACCCTGCACACGGTGTGATCAGGTGTGCACGTGCACAGCTACCTCAGCGCTGGCTGGCAGGCTTGTGGCATGGGGTGACAGCACAGCCACTGCTGGTTGTAGCTGCTGGAGAGTCCACCCTGCTGGTGTGGGAAGCTAAAGAAAGGATCCCAGAGCACCACTGCCCCAGGTAGCACTGTGGGCCAGAGCAGTCTGGCCTCGGAGTGGCAAAATCAGAGGAAAAGACAATAGCGCCTGTCTCTGCTTGTTCCCTGCTCCCCCAGACTGAGGCAGCAGCTCCCCAGCTATCAGCTTAGCTGCTGCTGGAGGTTTCTGGTGGTTCAGGAAAAAGCAGTGGTGAGAGCTAGCCTCATGCTGTCCCTCTGGTATTGCTATCTCTAAGACTGTAATGAGATTTTCCAGCTTTGTTCCCCCAACGTCTCAATGTCATCTCCAGCCTCCCCCTTCCTTCTCCCACAACTGCCCGGGGAGTCCTGAAACATGTGGAGTTGGCGCTCAGCACCCCATTGTATCAAGCCCCAGCTTTGGTGTGTGGTATCCAGAGGTGGGACATACTGTTCAGATCGCAGCCGATGAGCTCCATGCGCAGCGTGGTCCGGATGCTGTAGTGAGTGGGGTTGATGCGGATGTACCGGGCTATGATGGGAGGGTTGAAGAGATTTTCTTTCACTCCAGTTGCATCCACATTTGCAAAGAACAGCTGCAGGGAAAGGGAGAAAAAGGATTGTTGTACTGGTGGAAAGAGAGCTAGACAGGACAAGGATTAGTGGAGAGAATATTTCTGTCTGTCACTTCTGTATCTTATCACCATCCTTACAGCTCAAGAAAATGCTTTGAAATGTGATTCAGACCAAAGAAGTGTGAATCACTGAGAAACATGAGGAGAAAAACTAAAGGTCTATGCAAATGAACATGTTTTTGTATTTCATCAAACAGAGGAGAGAAAAAGGAGAAAAAAAAAAGTCAGTCCTGGGACTTTGGACCTGTGAAAAGTTTTGGCCACAGCTGGTGTACATGATGGAGGCTTTTCTGGATACTTTTTTTCTCTCGCTGGAACGATCAGCTTATGCATATTTAGGTTGTGTTTTCTTCTAATGAGTAGAGATCCCCCAAATCATCTGCATCTGCACAATGTTTTTAGAAAGCCAGATTTGCCTTTGTGGTGAAAAAGAAGATATTCAGGCAAAATCTTATGCCCAGCTCTAAGTAACATGCAATATAATGTTAAGTGGTGGATCTCACAGTCACCTGGAATTGTGGAAACAAATAGCTCAGTCAATTTAAAATGAGACAGACGGACACAGACAGCAAGTCCCCTGCAGGTCTGCGCTCCGCAGATTCATTCATCCTGGCCATGAATGCTCACTGTTCCTGCCCTAATCAAATATCACAGGGGCTCAGGAGATCTCTGTCTCGTGTAGAGGTCCCTAGCCTTCATCACCCCAAGGGACCCTATTCTGGGAGGACACTCTCCTCAAGACCTGTTCGCCTTACCATCTGGGTGCTGGTGGCATTCCCCTTGTATTTCTTCCACCTTTGCCCATCAAGGCTGTAGAAGACAACAAACTGGGAGATGTAAAGGCTGGAGAACTTTTGTCGGGCCCCTTGGGTTTTTATGCCGTGAATAATCATGAGATGCAAAAGATCCACCTGAGAACGAAAGTCAGGGATTCACTTCTGATGGAAAATCCAAGCTGTGTTCAGGTAATGCACTGTAAACCCATGGAACTTGCTTCCTTGTGACATGGCTGAGCACAGGTTATGAAACTAGTTAAAATAGTCTTTCATAAGGACACAAGTCAGCCAACAGCTGGGACAGGGCAGGGGAGAGTGGTTTGGAGAGGTGAGCTGTTCTCACTCGGTCTTCAGGGGATTTTTGCATAATCCAATGCTGCAGCTGGACCATCAAGTTGCATCTGCTGCATGGAGAAGGGATTTGGGGGTCAGACCAGCAGCAACCATGGCCAGACTAACTGTCATTAGGATCTCAGAGCTCCCGTCCCAGAGGGGAAGCAGAAGTAGCAGGACGTAGCTGTGGAGACACTGGCCATCCGTGCAGGTCCTTCTGCACAGTGCATCAGCCACCAGCATGCCTTTGCAATGCCCCAAGCAGTGCCTCCAGCCACAGGGCCCCTCTTACCTGGATCCAGGCGTTGCTGTTGTCAGTGCTCCAAGCATTGATGGAGCCAGTGTTATCCAGCCTGGCCAGGTAAGGAGCCCACTGCCCTGCGAAGAGAGCACACAGATATGAGGGTGCTGCTGGCCCCTGGCGCTGCCCAGTCCAAGGCAGTGAGAAGCCCACCCACAGGATGGGGCCTGAGGATCACCCTAGGGTTTAGTAGCCACATCCAGGATGGCAGAGCACTGACACGATGGGCTAGACATGTGGGAAGGCACCTCCAGGTCCCGAGTGGGATGCTGACATGGGGATGGACGGAGAAAGGACTCTGCCAGGGACCCAGTGTAGCAAAGCCTTGGGCAGGCAAGCACGTGAGTTGTTGTTGGCTGAAGCTGTCCCCACCTCAGCTGCCTTCCTTGCAGCAACAACCCCTACTCACCATACTGCCCCGACGCTGTGATCTGAGAGTCTGCGATGTAGCCCGAGGCCATGCCGAGGGCGTTTCGGCAGTCTGCAGCCAAACAGGGAGAAGGAGATCAAAAACCAGCGAGAGTTGATTAGATAAGAAGGCTTTTGAAGGAAAAGCCTAGGCTGGGTAGCAGACTCCAGGCTCAAGGAGGTAGTTTCAAGCCTCCAGGAGCCCCCAGGCTTGTTTGTTTCACACCAAGCAGTGGGTTTTAGATGCTTCCACACCCACCCCTGCATTTTAGGGGTGCTGGAAGTTCTTGCTCCCAACCCTGATGTCAGCAGCAGAGAGTTCTCAGCATCAGCCACAGCAGCCTCTTGCCAAACTCCTGTCCCTGAGTCCCCGACCTCTCATTCCCATGTCCTGATCTCCCAGCAATGCTGACAAGTGTCTCTTCCTTATACCCATGTCTTGCTCCTGGGCCTTTTTGTTGCTAGGCAACATCTTTTAAAAACAAATATCACGTTGCGAAAGGAAAGTCTGCTTGACACCTCTGTCTCTCTGTGTCTCTCTTCTGGTCTGCTGAGCACAGGGCTGTTTGTCTCTTATAATAACCATTATTATTAGCGACTTGTCACATCTTGGCATCTCTGCTGCATGGCAAATGCTTCTGGGGAAAATGCGAATTTGAAATCTTAAGCAGATTTTTAACTTATGGAAATAGTTTCCGGCTGACATTTAATACTCTTTTAGGAAGAGGAAAGAGACTGTCACCGTGTGATAAACTACTGCTCTCACAAACCACTTCCCCCAGTGCTTACTTATGGTGAGGTAGAAACGTGTTGTTCTGGGGTGAACGGAGGCAGAGGTTTCCTGGATTTTGCAGTTGCTTTTGGGGCTGTTTCTATCAGAGCAGCCTGTATTCAAGCACTGTTGCTCGCTGCCTCCTGCCATCACTCCGTGCCTCAGTTTACCTCTGACACGTGGTTAGGCAGCTGGGCACTGTACCTTTCCAACAGTGTGGGCAGGCACCAGCATGTGCATGCAGTTGTGGGGGTAAGTGCATTTTACAGGAGGTCCGAGGACCCTCAGTTTTGGAAAACAAGAGCTCAGGGAACAAATATTTGCAGGCAAATGAAGCTGGTCTCTCAGCCTTCACCCCAACTGTGTCTCTGACTTTGTGCGCTCTGCTGGGCTGCGTAAGGTGGCAAGGGCTGAAGTTGTGACTTTCTTTCAGAGTGAAAACCCAAAAGACCCCACTTGGGCCACCCCAGGGAAAAAGCTGAGAGCCTTGGGGGACAGGGAGCTCAAAAATATGCTGGCCATGGCAGCAAGCTGGCCAGGGGGCAGAGGATCACTCACTTTGGTTGTACACGAGGAAGAGAGCACTCATCCCAGCTTGCTGGTGCTCTCCTACTTTGCACTCTACCCGCCAGATCCCGGCATGTGAGGGCCACATCTCCACCGTCCCGAAGACACCTGGCCGGGAATAGAGAGAAAAGCAGAGGGAAATTACTGACTGTAATGGGATGCCACAGTGTCAAGCACCGTGCAAACACAGAGCCAGACTCTTCCAGATCCATTCCCCCTCCTTGCTATCCCCCCGGAGACTTGGCACTTCCTAACAGGCATGGACATGAAGCCCTGGTAGCTCCAGTGTGCATACTGCCCGTGCTGCATCTCACCGGGATAAAGGTTGTAGACTCCCATGCGATACTCCTGGCTAGTCCTGATGCTGAATAGCTGCCCATGAAAGTGGACGGAGTGGATATCCTCGGTGCTGCCCATGTTCAGGAGGTGCCATCGGACCCGTTGCTGCTGAGCCATCACCAGCCCAGGTAGTGTGTCACTCATGTAGCCGTTGATGGCTGGGGAGGGCAGCGGTCAGGAGCGGCTCAAGGCTTCAGGGTTTTTCCATCCCAATATAGGTTGTGGGATGGAAAGGGCAAGGGCAAGGGTCCTCACCGTGGAAGGAATGGTTTCTCTTAAAGTCAGGGTTGTCCTGCTGGATGCGGCAGGGAGGGCGGCAGTTCCTCTCCATGTTCTCCAGGAAGTACCAGCTTTTGGTCTCGTCAAAGATGGTGAAGAGCAGGGAGAACTCCTGCACAGCCAGCTGCCGCTTGAAAACGAAACTCAGCACCCCACGGCGGCAGATGATCAGTGGCCCAATGAGGCCCGAGTGCAGATCCTTCTCCTGACAGGGAGACGGGAAAAAAAGGTTTGCCTTGGAGGGGGAGGCAATGCTGATGTCCACAAGTGGCACAGCAGTGAGGAAAGCGGTGGCCATATCTGCATCCCTGGCCTGGCTCCCACTTGTGCACAGGGCACAGCAGGTGCAGGGTGGGAAGGACATGCTGGGCTCACTGGGGGATCCTCATTCTGCTCCTGGCTAAGAAGAGCTGTGCAGCAAGTGTTTGCACGTGCTTTCAAGAGAAGTGGTGTCTGTCTGTCCAACTGTCCAACAGTCCCTACCCCCCTAACATTGGAACCCACGGGCCAAATTGAGCCAGATTTGGCAGAGGTGTAGGGGACTGCAGAATGCTAGTTCCTTACAAGCCTCATAAGCTGGTACAACTGGGGAAAAGGGGAAAAACCCAATTAAGAGAAGGGAAGAGAAAGAACCAGCGTGCATTCATCACTGTATTGGACACCTGAGAATCTACACAGCCACAGGCTGCTTTCAGCACAGCACCACAGGGAAAGCCTTGACCTCGCAGCCAGGACCCAGGCATGCTGCCCATCTCTCCTTCCTGGGATGCCCCATGGAGCAGGATCCCACCTACCAGGTCCACGTTGGAGAAGTAAGCCCAGGCCTTGCAGTCAAACTCCTGCGTGGTGGGTGCCATCTGAGGCAGGACTTTCCAGGAGTACCTCCGGAGCTCGCCAGGCTGCACTGCCTCTCCACCCTGCGTCGTACCCTGCGTCTCCTCATAGGCTTGCAGCGTGGAGTGGAAGGAGAAGGGTCGCGAGGCCAGGTTCTTGAATGTAATCTGCACCGGAGAGAAGGCAAAGCAAAGGGAGTGTGGGAGAGGGCTAGGTGCAGCACTGAGAGCGCCCTGGACCCTGGGATTGGATCCAGCCAACTGGTGGGAAGGAGGCAGCCATGTCGCTGGCGCCCAGACCTCCAGCTGGGCCCCATGCAGTGGCCATCTCCTGCTGACCCACAAGCTGTCGCTGTGCAGTGTGGTCCCCAGCAGAAAGTGCATCTGGCCATGTCAGCAGGATGAGGCCCTCTCCCTGCTCAATGGGAGCAAGGTCAGCTACACTACTGTCTCTGGAGCCCAAAGGTACTGAATCCATCCTGGTGAAGATTTCAGTGAAAACTAGGCAACACCTCCAGGCATACAAGTTCTGAGCCTGGTGAATAACATTTCACCTCTTCCTTACGTGGGTGCTAAAGGACCTTTGGTGCTGGGGGAAGCCTGAGCCTGCCCTCACACAGAGCACCCAAAGAAGCTGTGCTGGACCCTGATTAGCTCATTACCTTTTTTACAATCCCTTTACCCAAAAGGATCCCCATGGAGCTGCTCGGGCTGTGCTGTTACAGGGGTTGGGTCTACAAAGCCAGGGCTTTGCATCTGAACACTCTGAGGTTCCTGCTGGCCCATTCCTCCAGCCACTGAGGTCCCTCTGAACGGTGGCTCTGCCTGCCAACCTGGTGCCATCCACATGCCATGCAGGGTGCCAAACGGAAGCTCCTGCCCCCAAGCCCTGAAGGTGAACCCACGGGCATCACAGAACCTGCAGGACCACCTCAGCACTCCCTCTGGCTGAGCACAGCCAGCAACACAGGGGGTTCAGGTTTTACAGGAAACGGGAACTTTCAATTCACCATGATGACATCTTCAACTTCTGCCCTGATGTATGGCCCAAGGATGCCCAAGTGCTCATCCAGCTCTCCCCGCAGCAGCGGCTGAGTGAAGGAATCGTCCAGGTACTCTCGGAAAACCACCTTGCGGTACTGCCGGAAAGGCTTCCTCCTGCCGCTCCAGGAGTCCCTGCTGGGGTGAGGGCAGTTAAGCAAGTCAGGTGATACTGTCCCATAGGGAGGGCAGCTGTGGCAGGGCTGCTGCAGGGCAGGGGTGATGTAGAGCCTAGAGCATCCCTGACTTGCAAGCTCAAGGTTGCTGGCGTTACAAAACTCCCCAGGTGGAGGGAAGGGACTGGGAGCATCCTTCCCCTGGGCTGCTTGGCTGGGTCGTACAGTCGTAGACCTGTGATCTTTCCTGCCAGGACGTGCCAACTCATGCATCAAGCCATGCCATGCAGTGCAGGAGGAAAACATGAGAGACAGTCAGACTTACGTGGCTTTTATGAAGTGCTGGGGTCTCTGGTTCCTGTATTCCCACATCACCTCCACCGCTGCAATGAAGTATTGGCGTACCTCCCCCTGGAAGGAGCGTGGGTCATGTTCCTCTTCCCCGTAGATGTCAAAATCCTCCATAGTCTGCTCTGTGTCGCCATACTCATCGTAATCCGGCTTGTCAGCCCTTGGCCTCGAGGGGCTGGAATGGGTCCCGTTGCTCAAAGCCAGTCCCTCCCTATATCCTGGGGCATGGTTCCTCTGCCCAGCTGTGCTGTTGCTTTCCCCATCCTCCTTGGGCTCCCCTAGGCCCTGGCCCTCTCTCTTCCCAGTTTCTCTGAGGACGTCTTCCCCACCAAGCACCTGCCATCCATCTGGACTGGCTTGCACATATTCGACTGTTTTTTTGGTAGTGCTGTGGTTGCTAGCGGGGCTGCTTGGAGACAGGGAATAGTCTTCTTTGGAGGTGGGTTTCATAGGGATTTCTTCTGGACTTTGCCCAGTCGTGCTCTCAGGGATGTAGTCCTCCGTGGCATTGGCCTTGAGGTGCTGAGGCCGAGGGCTGAACTTACCCAGCTGCTCCACAGAGTTTGTCTCCTCCTCCATCTGGCTTCTCCTCTGAGCTTGCTCGCTCCCAGGAGTCCCCCAGACAGCACCTCTGCCTGGCTGCCGCTCGGCCAAAGCTGGGCTTTGGAAGGCCCCGGCTTGTCCCGCTGCCCCCAGGGAGATCAGGTCCCAGTTCGAGGCCATGTCTGCAGCCACAGCAGCAGCCTGAGTTTCTGAGCTGCTTGCTGCCATTGCCGCCTCGCTCCCCAGCGCTCCCTGCATGGGGAAGGAGTGTCTGCTGTGTTGGGCCCCCTCACTGCTGCTCTGGACACCCCCATCTGTCCTTGTCCTCCCCTCAGGATGCATTTCATCAGCACTATCTCCTAGCAGAGCCTGTGGAGAATCCCTGCCCAGGTGTAGTCTCCCCTCAACCATGTTTGATTTTTCTTCCAGGCTTTGCTGGTCCACCATCACCTCAGGCAAAGTGCCGTGTGATATCAGGGACCTCTTTTTAAAGCGAGCACTGCAAAAAGGGGAACGAGGTCCACACACCTTTGGGACTTTCTTATTCACTGCTGTCTCAGGGGCCTGGCTGGCCAGATCCTGCTCTGCTCTGTCACCCTCAGAGAGGGGCTCCCTGCTCCCAGGCCAACTGGTGTTGGGAAGACCCAGACCATGCATCAGGCTCTCTAGTGACCTGGCTTGTCGAGGCCTCTCGTTGGGGTCACTCACACTCGGGGCTGGAGCTCTGTGTCTCAGAAACTCCTCAGGGCTGTTTAAGAGAGCATTTGGGAACTGCCTTGTGTCATTGGCCACAACGTTTGATTCAGGAAAGGCAAGACTGTCCATCTCTGGCAATTCCTTAGTGGCTGTAGCATCCTGAAACACTGTCTCCAAGATTAATTCGTCCCTCTCTTCTGTCATTATATAGCTGGGAGGCTCAATGTCATTGGTATGTGCAAATCTGGTTTCTAGAAGGCTTGTGCCTTTGGCAAGTTCACTGGCTTCTTGTTCTGTGCCACTTTTTGCAGGCAAGGAGTTACTTTCATCTGTGAGGATTTGTTCTTGTACAGGTTTGCTGGGTCCTAGGTCTGAGAAAGAAACATTTTTCCCTTCAAAAGATTCATAAAAGCCTTGTGAAACCACTTTGTGAGGTCTTTTTTCCTGCCTAGCATCTAGCTCATTTGATGAATAATTGCTTTCTCTGGTGTGACTGTGATGTACAGCACGAAAAGTCCTGTTGTCTTCTGTCTCATCTGAAGATGCAGAAGGATTGTCCAGTGTGGAAGAAGAGTTATGATCAGTACTTAAAACTGGCTCTGTATTGATTATCTCCTTTGACTCATATAGGTTTAAGGACATTTTATCAGCCCCTCTTAGCAACTTGTCCTCAGCACCCTGTGAAGACGTGTCTTGAAGTCCCAGATTGTGCTCCAGGTCATTCTGGTGAAATGAGCTCCTGTTCTCTTGAAGAGGAGCTTTGCTAGCAGCATAAGCAATTGAGTCCCACAAACTTGTTGCATGAGTAGTTGTCTTTTGAGGCTCTGCTTCCAGGATCTCTATTGTACCACCTGACTGGACCATTTTCCTTTTCACTGGCTCCTGCATCTCTGAGATTTTTGCCACCTCCTTTCCTGCCAGAGCACCTTCTGAAGCTGGTGTAGCTTGGTGCAGCCATTGCTGACCTTCTTCTGAGCTCACAGTACCATGGAGCCTTCCACTGTCACTCGCCAAGTGTTCTCCAGATGGTAAAGACCCAAAACCTTCATTCTGGCTGATGATTTTTGACAATTCTTCTTCATCTTCCAGGAAGGATTCATAGGACACTGGCTCATAGTTTGTCTCTGGCAGAGAGGACATGGAAATATCAGGTGGATGTGGGATTGTTCCTGAAAGTGTGGATGTGCCATTAGAAGGGGGATCAGAAATCCTGCCATTGCTCAGGAGGGCCCCATGGCTGGGTTCTGTCAAGCACAATCTTGGCTTCTCTGTCTCATTTCTGGAAGAGGTGATGTTGTTCAGTTGCTCATTCACACATGGCCTGTGCCATGTCTTTCTTTTAGAGAAGCCCCTGGGTTGGAAGTCAAAGGTCTCCTCCTCCTCCTCTTCAAAATCCACATAGTCTTCCCCATCAGGGTATTGCTCATGTTGGCACTGCAAGACTGTGAACTTGGCGCGCATCCCTCGGTCCCTGAAATCAGAATTCAGGCACCCCAGTGTCCAGACGCCTGTCTCAAGAGAGGACAAGAGGACACAATCAGGCCACTACAGTGGGAAATCAGAAGAGCTGCCATCCCTACACCACTCCCTTGCTAGTGCAACCTGTATTTTCAGGCAGCCTCTGGTTCATGGGAGTGATTTCATGTTTTCATAATCCCTAGAGTGTCTTACAGCTGGACTCACAAGACATCAGGGTTGCTGGCAACATCAGAGCCAGTCCCGACAAACACCATGAGCAGGGCCAGTGTTTCCTGTGAGAGCTTACTGAGCTACATACACCCACGAGGCACCAACAATAGCTTGGTGAGAACAGTTAACGCACTGAGAGCCTCCAGGATTATTGCCAGCAGCAGAGTAATCACCATATCCCACCCCCAAAGACATGCTGGTGCTGTCAAATACACCTCTCTCCCAGACACAGTCGTCATGTCTCTCCCACTCAAGGAGAAAGAAATGAAAAGGCTGTCTCTTGCTCACATCCCCGGCCAACGTGTTTGCTCCCCACAGCGAGCGCCTCTCCTCCAGAGTGGGCGAGGAGGTGTGCAATAACCAGGCTCTGACGCTGGAGAGAGCTGTCATCTGCTGCTGGCCAAGCTGCTTGCCTGTTTCAGATCAGCGGGCAAAAATCAGAGCTCAAACGGATGCAATGTTTGGCAGGGCTTTAGAAAGCTTCCTGGGGTATCTAGAAATCCTGTCAGCTTGGCTTAGGGTGCAGCGCCTGTCACCATCATATCAGTGTTTGCAATCGCATTGTAAATTCTGTTTCCTCTGTGAGTGAGGAAATGGTTAACGGCTAAGGAAAAAAAAATGCCGAGTGGCGGGAGATAAAACTGAACTCAGAAGCAAATCCTTCCTAGGACTTCTGCATGGCTGTGATTTCTGTCCTTGCAAAGGTGTGGAGGTAAACGGGATGCCGTGACAAGTGGCTGAACCCACAGCAGGGACAGCACTGCCGCTCCCCTTGACCTCCGAGCTCAGAGCCAAGGGTGCAGAGGCAAGGTCCACGGGGTTCGCGTTACTGCAGCCACCTTACTGACTTGGCAGCCTGTGTGACATTAACACACCCTGTTAATGAAGTGAAATACAGTAATTTCATTTCTTTGATTTAAGCTCTGGAAGGATTTAATTATTGCGTCTCACTTTGCTGGTTCAGCTGGTTGTGCGTCCCTTTGCTCTCCAGGCTGCCAAAATGCAATCAGGTACCAGAGACCTGCTATGATGCCAACCCCATGGCTTATGGAATAGCCCGTGTTACTAACCTGGCTTTTCCAAACTCATGAAGACTGTTTCTCCAGAAAACGGGAAAAGGGTAAGCACGTCCTCGAAGACCATGTTGCGCTTGAATGTGTTTCCAGAGAAGAAGATGGAGAGGAAATCTGTTTGGGCCCCAACACTCAGGACATACCAGTACACAACTTCATGCAGGCAGAGTTTTGGTTGGAGGTTGTCAAACACAAAGCCGTTAATAGCTGGAAGAGAGCAGGGGTGAAACCTGAATCAGGACCCAATTCCCCCACGGCTGCCGAGCTGCTGCAGGTTCCCTGCTTGTTCTCTGGGGCAGGGGTGAGCCTGTGCCTGCTGGGGCTGCAGGGAATTCATGAGGGACAATTTGCAGGGAGCCCCTGGCAAAGCACTCACTGTGCATCACGTTGGAGGCATAAAACTGGGGGTCCTGGGTATCCACATGGGCTGCATCAGTGCAGAACCGCCTGATGTTCTCCTCCAGGTACCAGCTGCGGTTCTCATCGAAGACTGAAAACAGCACCAACCTCGTCTTGTCTGACATTATCTGGAAGGTGGAGTGGGAAGCAGTTATTCCTGGTCTGATCAGAGCACCCCTGTGGTCCAGCGTACCTGCCAGGTCTTAGCCTGGGTGCATGGACAACAGTTTACTGCTATTTCACTGGAGTTAGGGTCCAGGTTTGGAAAGAAGAGAGCATACAAAGAAGGATGGGAAAAGCAGGGGCATTGGGACTGATGGTGGGGTTGAAGAGAACAGGATAGACAAATTTGGTTTTACCCAAGTATTTCACCCACCGCAGTTATTCCAGTCTTTCAGCCTGGCAGTTGAGGTGAAAAAGGAAGAACCCACCTGATTTCCCCTCTGATCCATGGACTTCTTAAAGCAGATCAGGAGGGGCCCAATCAGGCCTGAGGCTGTGTCTCGGACCGGGTCGATGGAGCTGTAGTAGAAACGGGTGAGGCAGCGAGGATCTGCCTGTGTTGGCCCATCCTCACTGGTGATTCTCCAGCTGTAGGTAAATGACTGGCCGGGGGGGATAGGAATGTCCTTCACGTCCTTCCCTGGCAACACACAGCCCAAAAACAGATCAGTTAGGTCTGGGCTGCTCCTGAAAGGGGGAATCCCACTTTTTGAAAGAGCTCAGAAAGGAGGTTTCCCGACCACACAAGTTGCATTGAAAACTACCCAAACCCACTCCCACCCCAGGATGGCACACTGGCTGCTAGCACGCGCTTGCATGGAAAGTTGATCTAGACAAAAGTTGCCCCTGGGAGCAGGTGAGGATGGAGACGCATATGCTTAATTTTGAAAGCCCTTTAAACTCCTGCAAACTGGAAAATTTGGCCAGTCTCAGCTGTGTCTGGGCTCTGGGCTACCTAGAGTTGAAGGTACAGGTTTGCAGAAGGTTTGCAGATGAAGGTACAGAGCTGGGCAGGGCTGAAATGGGTGAAAAACAAAGCAAGGAAAGATAGATTTTTAAGCAAATACAGCTAGACCGTGAGAAAAGCAAGGAAAACACTGAGAAGGCACAGAAGAAAAACTCAAATGCAAATAAATCCTCTGAGCATTCATCAGGATCTTCCACTGACATAGCCTTAGAAAAGATCTTTCTCTGCTCCAAGTGCCCATCTGAGCCACTGTAAGAGCATGGTTTGCAAACCTCATATGTCAGTCAGGGTAGGAATAGCTGGTTTTATTTATACTCCCTCAGAAAGCATCATTCCTGTGGCTCCAGGACCACAAATTGCCCACTTTACAGAGTTGAATTGCTGGCAAAGCTGGTGAGCTATGTCTGGCTGGGGGATGTTGACAGAGGGGCAGGGACAGGGCTCCCAGCTCCCTTCTGTGGCTTGGCTCCTTTAGTCTTGCCAGCTGATGGGCCACTTTGCCCTTTTGACTCTCCTGAAGGAAAACCTTACTTTAGATAGCAACAGGTCACAAAGCTGACCTGGTTCACTGAACCCATTACCAGCTGCCGTCCTGATTCTGTCACCTCTGGTGCAGCAGGGCAGTTTTTCTTCAGCCTCTGTAATTGCTCCCGTCATTGTGATGCACCCGAAAGGGCAAAGAGGAGGAAGGGAGAGGGATGGGGCATGATAGTTTCCTGGTGGGATAGCCTTTCACAAGTCGTGATCCTGGGAACATGACAGCAGCGGATGAAAGCAGTTCTGGGAAAGGGACCTAGTAACTCAACAACCCCAGAGAAAAAACCACGAAGCTGCAAGGGGGAGAGTCTGAATCATAACGAAGCCCCCGCATTAAAGCAGGGCAAGGAGCAGCCCAGGGAATGAGGACTGTAAGCGAACTGGTAAACACAGGCAGGATCACCAGGGTGGTTCCTGCCTCATCAGAAAGTGGAGGCCCACAGGATGGACAAACAACATGGTCCCGCCTCCCTGGGTGACAATGTCCCTTCTTCCAGCCATCATCCAAGCCTTCCTTAAAGGCAGGGATACATGGCACCAAGGGGGACATGAACCAAGAATCATCACCATCGCCCGGATTGCAGGGCTTGGGCGTTTGCATGGATGGGTTGGACAACCAG